GCCGTGACGGCGTGCTCGAGACGATACGGGCAACAAACAAAGCGAGCCACGATAACTTTTGAACCCCCTGTACCGGCTGCTCGCCGGTTGATTAGCGAAACGCTCGTGTTTCGCTCGACTTTATTGTTTTTCCTTATCCAGGCTTCCAGAGGAACTGCTTAATTTCTCTAGGATCGCAGTCGGCGCCGACGGAAACGCAAGAAATATAGAACGGCGGGGCTCAGAAGCAAATTTCTTCTGTCTCTCCCCGCGACGCGGTGCTTCGAAAGGAAAGCGCAAAAGTTTCGTGGATTTTTCTTGGAGGCGCGAGCGATCCCGATTTTTCCGTGCCACGTGCACCGACAGCAAAGCGCCTAGAAAGTGCACTTTACGGACACGTAAAGTTACGAAATTTCTATTCGACGTTTCTATTCGGGGCTTCGACGCGACACGAATAAATCGCACCGATCCTGATGTGAACTGGAATACAAATTCCTCTGGACATCGTGTCCTTCCAGTGTTCGGTAATCGGGAGAGTGAACATACTCCTATTGATTTCATAGGTATTCGGTAATCAGTATTTATATAATATAATGGTTATTTAAAACGTAGACGACGAACAGGAAATTAAAATCTAAACGATGGTAATATCTTGATGTTTCGCAGATAGTTATTAATCTTAGGTTCTACGGATATCAAATTCAGTTGTTTGATACAATTAATCGCTCGGCAAGCGATTAATACCGATATTGTAACCCGGAGGTACCGGATGTCTCAATGGAAACGCGAGATTGGAAGAGGACATTATAATTTTTCGTTTCGTGAGCAGAATATTAAGCGTTGACGTAATGCCATGCTTTTTACACGCGATAATCCGGACCACCGAGGACTCCGCGAGCGTTATCGCCGCGAAATCAATTACGCCGAGGCTCGTGCGTTCTCTTTTTCAGAACCGCGGCCGCGATAAGACGCTGCCAGAGACACGGAGTCTGCGAGCCTCTCCGATAACCCTTGTTTACCGCTTCGCGTCGCGAGAAAACACCGAAGGAACCGGCAAACAGACGATTATCCTCGATATTCAGCGACTTTCTGTTTTACGAAATTAATATCGCGTCAAATAACCGTCGAACTTTAAACTTCTTGAAATTGAACCGTTCAACCCTCGTGCATCGCTCGAAATTGAATTGAAAGCTCTTGTTGTCGAGTATGGATGATAATCTTCGTTATAAGACTGTATAATTCAATGTTAGTGTCAATAGTATTCATATGAAGACAGAGAAGCTGGACTAATTTAAGAATCTAGGCACTAGCAAATAACAATCAAAGATCAATTCGATCTGAATTTATCTCCGATTCGATTTTAATCCTTTGCACTCGAAAGTTTTTCACTAGAAATATCCAATATTCTCCGATGAGATACAGACGATGTCCTTTGAAACTAATTAATGAGAAAACATATATAAATTAAGAAGGAAAGTTATATGTAATATTAAGTTTTGTATGATGCATCAATATATGGAATATTGAAATAAAATAATTATAAAGTCTTATACGTAATATTATTCCATATATTGATGCATCATACAAAACTTAATATTACATATAACTTTCCTTCTTAATTTATATATGTTTTCTGATTAATTAGTTTTAAAGGACATCGTCTGTATCTCATCGGAGAATATTGGATATTTCTAGTAAAAAACTTTCACATCATACAAAACTTAATATTACATATAAGATTTTATAATTATTTTAAGTTTTGTATGATGCATCAATATATGGAATATTGAAATAAAATAAGATTTTATAATTTTGCAAATCAAATCAAGTGGTGACTAAGAGTCACCTCTCGAGTACAAAACATTAATATCCATCACTCTAGTTATTCGAATGAAAATTAAAGATTCCTATCTTTACCATACGATTCCCCACAAAATAATTAGCCAGGTGTGCGAATAGAAACGACAGATCCACGGTTGATCATCGACGGAAACCACAGACTCCGATTTCGATCGATCCACGTGACCAACGGATAAAGTTACCCCTGTACAATGATTATCATCCCGCAAATCAGAATCGGCGGACCGAACGATTTCCTTTTTAACCCTTTGACTACGGCAGAAGTTTGTCAAGGTATTTCTAAGAAAGTACCGAAACCATCAAAACACTGAATTGAACTACATTAAATCAATCTAAAATAATGACATTTATATAACATATGACTAACGGAAGATGTAATTGTTGAATTGGAATTCATTTGCGTCAGATCTAAGCCAGCTTTGTTGCAATTACTGTCAACAGTTTACTGACGCCACACCGAAACCAAATTTTTCAATTTATTTATTTATTTTAATAGTAGCCAAGCGGTTAACCCCTTGCATTTTAAATGCATTTTAAAGCATAGATAGTTTGCAGAGAACAGTGTAAACGATTCTTCTTACTAATAATATCGAAAATAACGTAATATAATCTATTTGAAAAATATCTCGACAAAGAAGCACATCTGTGAATAAAACTGCGCAAAGTTAGTTTCAAAATCATGCCCAGAAACGCAATTTTTCTTCATTGTTTGTTTCACCTCGTTCAGGTCATGAAAAATCGTACACAAAATCAACCGACACGTTATCTAGATCGTTACGTCATTTTCGTTCAATGTATCACCGAAGAATAAACAAATAAATGCATTAGTACAGTCCGCAAAATGGTCGTTCACGGCAATGGATTAAGGATCTTCGGGAGATCCATCGATCGTGTTCGGTTCCCATGTTACTCTCGATCTCCGACGGTTTGAAACTCGAGTTCCGAGGCTTCCGCGTCGATCGATAATGACCGCGATCGGGATCTGGCGAGCAAGTCCAAGGCCTTTGCCATCGTTCGCGCCAGTCATCATCGAGCGACGATCGCTGCAGACCGCAACGCACACGCGCGATCCAGCGATCCAGCGTTATGTCACCGTGATCATCGTTTCCATTAAATCAGCGAAACGAGCGGCACGCGAGCAGGAGTCTCGGTTCTTGTAAACATTGCTCGAAATGCAAACGTGCTATTAGCGGGCGGTTGGATCCATGGTATCGAGGCTATCGTCGTTGGTAATTAGATCAGAGATAGTATATGATTCCTGATGAGAATCGAGGCAATTACGGATTCGTAGGTAATGACGGATTCGTTGATTTGTTTACTTCGATCGCGATTTAGATAGTTGCTACTTGATCGTTCAATTTCAGTGATTTTTAACACTAGAACTACCAGTCAAAATGACTGGTTTCAATTTTTTTGTTTAGCGATTATTGATATCTTCGAAGCATTGAATGTTCCAAATGATTTTGAAAATAAATAGTTTCACTGGAGTACTATAATGGACGTCTGAAGAAACTGAAAATAATCTACTGTTACGATTTTTATGGGAATTGCATATTAATCGTATTAAATGCTCGGTAGTTCTAGTGTTAATGAAGCTTATTTCGAATACTTGAGGATGAGAGACAATAGTTAATTAATTCAATGCTGTATTTGATTATTGATTATTTTATAAATTCTATTGTGCATTCCGTGGATATAATCTTTTACGTAATGCAAACCATGAATAGTACAGTGATTAGAGATTATAATGTGGATTGTAATCAGTACGAAGATACTAAAGATTAGTACCGCTTGACTTGGGATCATTTATTCTACAAATGGAACCTTGAGATTAATTAATCCTGAGATTCACGATTGAACATTGGAATCCACCGTCTTTGATGAACGAAATTTCTAGAAGCAGCAGCTATTTCTACCGATAAAATGCAATCTAAAAGTGTGTTCTAAAAAGTTTCATATAAAAAATATTTTACAGTCTTACCACTGTAATTAATTCCGTATATTTACAGATACCTGCTAAAACTCTTTAAAATCTTGATAATTCTTATGTATCACAGAAGTCATTAAAAATTTGTATAAAAGTATAAGTATAAACAATCCCAATGTTTCTATTATGATAAAATACACGACGAGATAGTGCTCACAGCTTCGACTGCTATGAAAGAGTATATTGATCATAGACGTACGAAATACGAGTGAAGTTTGTTCTTGTTACAGATTTCCCGGTACTAACAAGTAAGCTGATTACACGTGTACAGTACATATCGTTACATAAATCAGATAATGCCTGAAATGCAATTTGAAATGCGACACAGTACGAACAGCAACGTCGCGGACTCAAGATTTCCCAGTAACCTCGACAAATCTAGCAGCCTCTAATGGTCGCCATAATTCAAGCTGACAATTAAACGTGTCGCCGTTAAACGCGAAGAAACCGCTAACGACGCGACAAGCTATTCAAGCTCGTTCCTAAGAAAATTAGATTTGTTAGAGTATCCTACAATATCGCCTCGTTACGTTTACTTCTAGTAGTTCCTCGTGTAGCTTCAAAACGATTCCAATTCTTTGGTTTCCAGTAAACGATCAATCCTCACAAGTAGAAAATCCAAATAAAAAATTTCTTCCTAAAAACCACTTGTGCCCTTTGTACCCCGCGCCCTATTGACCCTTTGCGGAAACAGTCTTCATAGGCTGAACGCCCAGACGCTTCGCGAACTCCTCGGCATCCTTGATCTGATTAGGATGATAAGCGATTCCCCCAGACTGATCCACGCGTTCCATGGTGACCTTCTCCGGGTCCCCAGCAACTAAGATAGGCTTGTCTCCAGCTCGTGGCAGTTCCCTCAGCTGTTTCAACAGAGTAGCCAGCCTGTCTTTCGATCCGGGTCCGAAAGCTTCCGGATTGATCGCCATGAAACAGTGTCCAAGATCGGCGATCCTCTCTTTCCCCTTCCATTGTCTGATATTAGGTCCAAAGTGACTGCCGGAGAGGATCCCGCAGAGGATCTCGACCATCAGACCTAGACCGTAGCCTTTATACCCCGAAGTGTTCTCCTCTCCGCCCAGAGGCATCAGTATTCCAGTCTTGCACGCGTCTTCGGAGTCAGTGGTGACCTTCCCATCGCTGCCCAGAGCCCATCCAACGGGGATGGGCTCCTTCTTCGTCACTGCCAGCTCCAATTTCCCCAAAGCTACCGTCGTGGTAGCCATGTCCAAGAGGAAACGATCGTCGTTCGCAGCCGTCATTCCTAAAGATAGGGGATTGGTGCCTAAACCTTTGCCTTTGCTGCGCGTGGGAGCCATCAGCGGGCTGGTGTTGGTGCAACTGAAGCCGATTAAGCCCTGGTCCATCGCCATTCTAGTGTAGTAGCCGCAGATGCCGTAGTGGTTCGAGGATTTGGCCGACACCATGCCTATCCCGAACTTCTTCGCCTTCTCTATGGCTAGCTCCATGCAGTACTTGCCTACCACGTGGCCCAGGCCATTGTTGCCGCTGACCAGAGCTATCGCCTGGAAGAACGTTTCATGGGACTTCACGAGGGCGAAGTTGATGAAGACATTGTCGAGGTAGCTTCTAGTGTGCTAGGATTGATGGAATATGTTGGAGTGCTTCCTTGGGGGTAGACAGGAAGAGGTTCAGATGGTAGATAGCAGGATCCTAGGTTTACTCAGTGTCGGATTTTTCGAATCCTTTCAATGCAAGAGACTCTTAGCAATTTAGGGGATTGTTACTTTAACGTGCCAAGATAATTCCTCTGTTTCATGATTGGAGACGTCAGTAGGGAGTTCATTTAAGTTTGTATCTATACAGACGTTGAGTAACTGATCCATACGTTCGACCGTTTCGAAATCAATTATCTCTGTTGTTTTCCAACAAGGCGGAGATGTACCGAGTTGAACTTAACATTTCAATGACGGCTTGAGTTTTAAGAAATATTTATTACAATTACGTGCAGGTTTTCACGGCGAATATGAAGTCTCCAGGTAAGACGACAAAGAGTAAACCGGTATGGGCTGGATTTCCGAGTGTCGCTTTTACTGTTACCGGTGTTTTCAACGACGAGAGTGGACGCTGAGCAGCCGTGACACGTAACAACGCTGATTCTTCAGCGTTCGAAGCGATTAGCCCCAGGAATGACTAATTAATGGCAGATTAGTGCCACGGGACGCGGCTCGAGTACTTTGAAGCTTCGTTTGCATCGACATTACCGTCTACGAGATAAAAGTAAGACGAGCAAGCCTCGTGACACGACTCGAGGAAGGATCTCTTGGAAAACAAGATTTACTCTCCGCCTGGCGAAGTATCAATTCTCCTCCTAATAAGTTCCGAAGGAATTCGTTTCACTGGAAGTGCCGTAGAAACGAGTCTTTAACCCTTTGCGGACGGAGATTCTATAAAATACACGAAATCTTCAGCAGACGAAGCTGAATTACTTGTCGATTGCTTGATTAATATAAAAACAGGAAACGTACTGATATCTTGCTGTTCGAGTAATCGAATCATTCGTCCATGACTTAGTTTTTTAAATACATTCATCTCGCCAGACTCGGGTTAAGTCCAGACAAACAATTCTGTTCAACGTTGATCGAATCAATGGATTACTCGCGTAAACTCCGAACAGAGTGATACAGGCAATTATGAAACAAACATTCCAAATGCGGAATGCTAAACGTTGCTAACAACCTCAGACGTTAAAGCAGCAGCGTAAATATGCAGTAAGAAAGAAAAAGTTCCAAATCTAAAATAGAAGCAAGATCTTCGCTCGGCGTGTAAAGCCACGGGTTCCCCGAGATGCTCTCCGCGCTTCGAATATTCTCTTATCTCGATCAGGTTCGCCAGCACGCTAAGCAGACTAAAACACGACTCCGAGCGGATTGCTCAACGTACCCTGGTGCGCGCGCCTGGTATCGCAGGTCAAAGAACATCGGAGCCCGCACCGCTCAATTAATCGACCGAACAATCGAAACGCGTCATTCTTTTTACCGAACGGTGGCAGCTGCTATCTCAGCCAACGTCAGAAGAATTGCAACAGACCTGTCCTTGCCGAGACAAACGTGGACGAACCTACCGAGCAAAGATCATTTTCGAATTGCCTAGGAAGTATTCAAGCAATTCCGATGGGTACAACGCTTGGTCATTTCGAATCCCTATCTACCCCTAATCGCAAGCTTGCGTTTATCATACAAGGAAAATATCTTCCACTTCTTGATACTTCTAGATACAAATTATCCTTAAACAATCGCCTCTTTCCCTTTTTCCAACGAAACCATTTCACCTACGAAAGAAACAATCTATCAAAATAAACACTCTCAGGTTATCAATCCGTTTATAAGTTCCCTAGAAATACGCAACGCTTAAGTCGCTATCTAATCCTAATCACAACCTTGCCTCTATCATACAAGGAAAACTCCTAAAACCGAGCATTCAATGCTAAAACTTGATGACTAACGAACAGTATATCAGAATATTCAAAAGTGTAATTTATTCCCAGTGTAATTCATTCCTATCTAACCAATCCTAATCGCAAGCTTGCATTTATCATACAAGTAAAACTCCTAAAACCAAGAATTCAATGCTAAAACTGACTAACGAACAGTATATCAGAATATTCAAAAGTGTAATTCATTCCCAGGGACTAATCTCTTAGGCCGATCCTCAGCGTCCATTACAACTTGCGAGAAGTGGACATCGGTGGTCCCGTACCTGAAAATCGGTGACGATCTCTGGCTTAGCAGCAGGGTCCGTGATCTTGCTCTCCAGATCGTGCACGTACAGCCACAGCCTGTTCAGCCCATGACTGAAATGGCCGCAGTAGTCCGCGGTCATCAGATGATGGCCGACAACCTGGCCGTCCTCGCTGGTCGTCCCGACCTTGCACAAGCAGTCCCGAACGAACCTGACCACCTCGTCCTTGGGTACCACGCCGGCGGCGCCGACCAATCGCGTGCTGTCAGACGACGCCATTCTTCGGATAGCGTCGATCTGAATTACAGACTGGTCCGACGATCTCGTGGCGAGCCGCGCGGCGGTCAGAAGACTTCTGGCTACTGCGGACATCGTAAACTCTGCGCTTTCGAAACGGTTATCAGCCGACGATCCTAATCAACCCGATGAACCCTCTGGACCAGCTTCAAGATTTCTCTCGTGTCCGTCTCTTTATCGTGCCAACGAACAGACGCAGAGGATGGATTTAGATAGAAATGATCCAGGGGTCGAGTTATCAGGCCTTATCAAGGAACGGGGATTAGAAGCTGGTTACTATCGCGCGCTCGCTTTTGTCTTTGAAGCGGCGCGGCGGATCTTCTGGAGAAAGGTCTCTATCGCTACTTTTCTGCAGTTAGTTTTGTGGTGTTTGTTGTTAGTTTGGGATCTCTTGCCTTCGTAATCTATAGGTTCTGCTACTTACGTGAGTCCTATAGTTTAGGGTGTTTTCCTTTTAGAATCACTTCGCGATTGTTTTATCTTCGCAGTGATTCTTTGGATCTCGATGATCTCCAAAATTGAGTTAAATACTTCTCTCTATGTCAACTGCGATCATTCAACTTGGACGTTGGTTCCAGGAAATACTTCTCTCTTTGCGGTTTCCGGGCCTGCCTGATAACTCGGATCGTTATCGATCTACGTTTAAATACAAGCTTCTCTTCCTCTTAGCTCGAATTCCCTTTTAACGAATTTCAAGATTCGAATTTCCCGCGATGCGGGCGTTTTAGCAGACACTCCTCTAGCCGCTATTGCGTAACTTACTGTTACGAGCACCGTCCACAGAGCTTTTCGACCATTGCAAACATGGCTTTAGGCGGAAACGTTGCCCCGTTCGATGTACAGTCCTCGGTCGATGGTATTTCTGAACAAGGAAATCACCGGCGCGGTCGGATGATCTATGGATCAACCGGGAGTACTTCGCGAACGTCGAAACACGTTTGACAACAACCAGTCACGCGACTGTTTCACCAGCGACTGATAAATATTGGCTAGACTGATCGACGCGCGAGCGGCGCGAGATTCGAACGTTGGATCGCTTATCGGTCTAGTCTCTTATTACTTCTCAATGGAAGCAATATTCGTGTCGTTTGTTTCGCGGAACAAGTTCCCGTCGATAGGCACATCAATCCTCCGCGAGGAAAAATTGCCTCCAGAAGGAAGAATGTCGTCTGTCCAGTTCCACGAGACTTTCCTAGTAGGAAACGTTTTCCTTACGTTGCTTTGTCTCCGAGAAATATTAGGTACACCGATCGACGCAATTTCCTGGGGATTTTATAAATGGAGACATGTTTCTCCTCGTTCCTTTTACCGGGCTTTTCCACAGCGCTGAAACTTTCTCGTTTCTATTTCAATTTCTCCTCTGAGACACAGGATGTTTAACCCTTTGCACTCGGAAGCGACTTAATCGGAGAATCTTATGCGAGATCGTGGTTTTGCATTTGATAATCGATTCTGTGTAATACGGAATATATGGAATATTAAAATTAATCGTTCCTTATGTGTGATTTATCGATAAGTAAATTTTCAACGAAATTAACACAAACTACCGAGCAGTTGAATCGACTTTTTGAAATTCCTCTATAGAAACTCCAGGAGTGTATCTATTGAGGATTTACAATTCAGTTTGCGTATTGATAAATCAATTTTTAATAATTTCTCAGAGAAACATCTGTTATTTTCTTAATAATTGCAAAAGAAGAATTCGGGAACAGGTCATTATGGCGCATCTGGTAGTTTTAATGTCAAATCTCATCGAAGAAATGTTGAATTTTGTGAAAAACTGTCTTTACAAGTTTCCATCGCTTGAGACCACTTGTGTTATTAACAAATAAACATTTCTCACTTTCACTATTCAGTTCTTGATCCTAAGCAACGTTGTATAATTTATTAATGAATAATATCCTCAAAAATTCGTCAAATAATTCGCAGTGCCGACTTACAAAGGACTGTTCAACGTCGAAACGAAGAAACTCGTTTCCCGAAAATCGCCGGGAGCTTTTCTTCTAATCAGTTATTAGCGTTATTCATTCTGCAATGCCTAATAGTGTTTGCGGATGCCTCGCTCTTCCGTTCGACAGTCGTTTCTGGGTTAAAGGAAGGGATGTCGTATCTCTATTTTCGCGCTGATAAACCGACAGTATCTCCGAGCGCAATTACACACTTGAGGGATCCCGTGAGCATTTAAAACGAGAGGAGACCCTAGACAACGGCTATCAGCCGTTTTAATCTGTCTGGTTAAATGTTTTCAAACGATCAGCAAATATTTTTTTTCAAATCCCTACCTAATCTTTGCTGGCGTTCGCGTCAGCGCGTGGATTTTTAAATTTTCAAGTAACACCGCAGAGATATCGGAGTAAACTGAGAGAAAGAATTCTGAAACTGATCCGTGGATCACGCCGAGCGATGTAGGAACGAATTAAAAAGATATTATACCGGAGAAAAAGAAGGTTCAAGCCTGTCGATTAACCTTATCGATTACCACGACTGTTTGATTGACGGCACATTACACGAGGCCGCTTATCGATCACTCGAAAACGAATTAGGACGGTAGGAGTACAGAAATATCGATAGATGAACAGTCGGGCTGTTTAATGAAATTAACACGTTGAATGCCGCAGGATTTCGCAGAGCGAAATACACAAAATGGAAAAATATATTACTAAATTATTTGATTGAATTGCATTAATATTATTACACGTTAATTTAGTTGAATGTCACTGCGTTATGTAGCATTATCTATAATATAGAAACGTTTTCAAATAATCATCGTTTAATTGAATGAACTATAGTAATTCAATTTGTTTGGGAGTCACCGGTGACCCCCACGGCATTCAACGTGTTAATGATTAGTTTAGTGAATTCTGAAAAATGTATTAGTTCTATTATTATTATACAATAATTTGAAAAACCATGTTCGAAAGATGATAAAAAGAAATGTCGATGGATGAACAGTCGGACTGTTTAATGAAATTAATGATTGATTTAGTGTATTCTGAAAAACGTATTAGAAGTTCTATCATTATTACATAATAATTTGAAAAACCATGTTCGAAAGATGGTAAAAAGAAACGTGTATTTACGTTCTATCAAGCTATGAATAGTAACACTGAAGATAATCTCCATCGCGAAGGGAACGAAAAGTAGAGAGAAAATAGAAAAGGTTAAAACCTAACTCATTAATCATTCTTTAAACTAATTATAATATTCAAACGTCCAATTTTGTTATAAGTAAATCACTGTTTACTATGAATATTATAAGTAAATCATTATTCCGTAATATTTATTTAAAGATGAAGAAAACTAACACGAATCAAATGAAAACCGAAATACAATCATAGTAAACCTGTGCTATAAGTTACTATTTCACTTATCTTTGTAAAAGAAACAAAGGAAACCAAATCAAACGCGAATCGAATCGAAAAACGAGATGGAATCGTACACAGTGGAGCTCGCGTCGGGAAAATCCGCGCAGAACAGGTGGAAACAAAGTGGATGCGCGAGCGATCTCCGCAAGGCAAACCGGCTAATCCGGCCGCAGAAAAATCGAGGATCGACCTGCGTTTCCGCGTGCATTCTACTGCCCGCGAAATGTGTTCGCGCGACTAGAAGCTCGCACAAACGTTTCTCCTATCCTCCTTCTCATCTCGGATTCGTCGATCGTTTTAATTCGGTCGATCGGAACGCGCCGAGAGATCGAATGAGTCGCGCGTGCCGCGAATTCGAGCCGCGAACGTTTCAGCGACGGCGATCGTCGGCTACGTTCCCTGAAAATCGAGTCGCCAGAAAAATCGGACGCGCTCCTTCCGCTCGTATTTAGCTGAGACGCCGAATTTTTTGTCGCGCTCGATCGCTGTCGATCAACGGAATTGCTGAAAGAATTTTCGATGTTTGTGGAAAGTGGCGGACAAACGATTCGTTTCAAAATTATATTCCAGTTTGACATTTGTGACGAGTTATTAGTGATAGATTAATTTGTGATTTACATTTAACTACACCTAACTATTATAGATAGATTCGTTTCATTAGAATTGGAAATTATATTCCAGTTTGAAGTTTGTAACGAGTAATTAGTGACAGATTAATTTGTGATTTACATTTAACTACACCTAACTATTATAGATAGATCTGGTTCATTGGAATTTTTGGAAGTTATATTCCCTGTGATTTTGAGATTGATGTGACGAGTAATCGGAGAGAGATTGATTAATTTATAATTTACATTAGTGTTAGTGTTCCTTTGAGTTTCTGAGTTTTTTAGTTGCATTTCCACGTGATTCTGTGCAGGTTTTCAGCTGTAATCCTTCAAATGTTACATCTCTAACGTCGACAGTAATGGAAACATAGGTTCCCGTGTGAAGTTTTAGAATGATAAACAGATCTTTTCGAAAATAGACAATTTTGCAGAGCGATTAACGAGAATAGGAATTGGATCAAGGTTTATTTTCGCAGCTAGTGACTTTATTACACTAACCAGTTAACCATGGAAGACGAGTCAACAAGCGATTCACACTTAACTTCATCTTCCCTTGAGTCTCCGACGTTCGTTTTACGCGGAGCCTGACTAACTATTCTTCCAATTAATGATATCATAATACCTGCAGCAACAGCTGAAAGCAGGTTGCATCAGCGCCGATTGCTGATCGTTAATGCGCCGGATTTGCATGCGCGCAGGCGTGGACTATGGATCTTTATGCAAACGCCACGATTTTGAAACTACAATTAAGTCGAATAATCTAGTTTGATTTGCGACGGAGATTCTCGTTAGAATTCATTGTTCGTTGCAGTATTTTTTAGGCAATCGTTTGAGTTATGCAGAAGTAATATCTGCGTATAACGGGTACACTATCGTGCATACGATTAGTGTTAACGTTAATTTTCATTGGAAATTCTGGCACGCGACGCGAGGAATACGTAAAGTCGACGAAAATGCATAATCGCGAGGGGAAAATGAAAAGGATCAACTTACTACTGACTTAGCGAACAATCCAATCGAAAATTCTGCGAATAATAAAGCCTCTTGAGTCAGCAGAAGTTCAGGACGATGAAAAATTGGCGAGGCAAGTGGAAAACACCTCGAAAATTCGAGCGATTAGGTTCACTGTCAGTCGGTTTATCACTTGCTAGTTATTACACTTTGTAAATATTTGTATTCCGGTTATGTATGCCAAAGTCGTCACGTACCGGGTGTGCTCTTTATCACGAGGAAACACAATTTATACCTTTCCGCCAAGAAAATTTCGATAATTACAAGATTCTAATGTATATAAACTTCACGTAAACGTAACCAAACCTCAGCGAAAACAATCAAAATATCATCTTCCGCTTCTTGATACTTCCAGATACTAATTATCCTTAAACAATCGTTTCTTTTCCTCTTCCCAACGAAACCATTTCAACTACAATAGAAACAATCTATCAAAATGAACATTCTCAAGTTATCAATCCGTTTATTGAAGTTCTCTAGAAATATGCAACGCTTAAGGAAAGAAATTAACAAGATGAACGTTCTAAACCTCCAAAATTGCCCAAAATGTACAAACTTTTAAAAAACAGAGAATTCGTTGATTCAAGTTGCTTAAAGATGTGCAAAGTTCAAGTGCCACGAAAATCTCGACCATTTTTCTGTACAGTTATCCTTTTCAGCAAAGAAAAGTAGCATTTATCAACTAATTACACTATTATCAACTTAGTTATGTTATTAAACATTTTGATTCGACATCGATTATTATTTAAGTAATTCAGAAGCGTCAGTGATCGATGACTGACACGACATTTAACGTGTTAAGGAAAGGAAAATTCGCGTTTTCGATCATGAATGAAAGTGATTTTCTCCTGTGGACTCGGATCGCTCTAGATCTCGATTATCGTCCGAAAAACCGAGCCTGTGCGTGAGGCTCGCGGCGTCGACGATAGGAAGCGGCGATCTTCTATCGGAACCGTTATCGTCGTAGCTCACTCCCAAGGCCGCGGGTTTATACAACCGTCAAGCTAATCGTGCCGATAATTAGACTTGTACATTTCGTTGCCGAGTTCGCTGCTCCGCTGGCCGATCCTTGAAGATCGACGGTCCACGGGCTCGTCAGCCATCGTTCTTCGTTGATCCCGACGGAGAGCGAATGGGAAAATAACGTAGGGCACGATTTATATTATTTTTATCTTAATTCGAGATGGAATTAACGTGATCGAGCGGTGTGCTTCGATTACGGTATTGCATTAGATAATGCCTTTCAGATCACCTTCTATTATAATT